TGAATCGTCGACCCCCCAGAACATATGGGAGAACATGGGAAGTGGGGGGGGGAATGCGAAAAAAACCGGAAATATGGGAAACCACGTGCCATCCCCCCCGCGCGCGCCGCCACGCGTCCGCGGCAGGGAGTCATCCACGACCACCACCTGGGGGATCGATCTCCGGGGACCTGGGAGCCCCCACCCCCCCGCGTCATGAAACATTCACGACGGGAGGTTTTTCGCCATTCTCGGCCTCTGGAGGCCCTTGTCGGCCCCCCAGGGTCGTCCGAAAACGACTCAGGAGAAGAAGCCAGCCCCGGGGAAGGGGTCCAGGCTTTTGGGGGTCGACGCGATGAAACAATCATGACGCCGGGGGTCTGGGCAGGCAGTTGGTCTGGATAGATCCGGGCCCCCTGGGGGCCGAAACAAATCCGTCTCCCTCGCCGGCTGGGGTCCCAGGGCGTCGGTTCCCAGGCGGCGGCTGTGGATAGATTCCCTCGGGAAAAAACATAAACATAAAACGTAAACTTGTGACGCTCCGCGCGGATTTCTTGGACCTGCGTTGGGCCCCCCCGGCGGCGCCCCTGGCGCGCTCCGCGCGCCAGGGAGGGGGGTCCTGCGTAGATCTCAGAAAGCCGCACGTACCGTCGAAAGTTTCATGTTTATGGCGTTTTTTCTTCTTCTACTCCGTCCTCGCAACATGCGCCCCCGCGCGCCGCTCGCAGTGCTCCCCTCTTTGATTTCAAGCTTGGCAGGGCCACCAGGTCGCGATCGTCGTGACCTCCGCACAGGCTGGCCGCCCGCGCGGCCAGAGGGAGTTTGAGGCCGGGCAGCAGACGACGCAACGAGCAGAAGCGCCCGGAGACAGTGGCGCAAACATCTCCGAAGATATGTTTTCTCAGTCCTGGCGCGGCTCCTCGGTTTCGACCCCTGGGTCCAGTAATTATTTCGAAGAAGAAGAACAGCCGTAAACATGAACCTTTGGCGTTTCACTCAGATTTCTTGAATCCGCGCTGGGCCCCCCCCGGCGGCGCCTCCGGCGCCGCCCCTGGCGCGCTCCAGGGAGGGGTGTCCAGCGCAAATCCAAGAAATCTGTGCGGAGCGTCAAAAAAACATGTCTACACCGTTTTGTGTTCTTCTACCCTGGGCCCAGTGTCGGCCCCCCGACCATCAAAGCCAGTTCCGGGGCGAAGAACTGACCGTGAGGAGAGGGTCGGGGCGTCTGGTGCCACGCGTTTCAAGATCGTATCGTCGTCTGGGTTTGTTCTTCCCCAGGCAGTGCGTGCACTAAGGGGTTCCCGCTTTTGTCTCAGGTGATTGGCTACGTCTTCAGGTCTTCGGCCGGAAAGCGCACGTCGCCGCACCTTGCGCTGGCTGGCGAGTTTGGATTCGCGGCGTAGCGTTTCTCCACGTTGCTCCACATAGTTTGCACGCATCTTGCGGCTTCTAGGTTGCATTCCGTAGCTTCGGCCATACATGTGCACCAAGCGCATGTTCCCAAACGCGTGTTTCAGATGGTTTGTTTGAATCCTATATCCCCAACACATGTCCCAAACGAGCACATGCAAGATGTCTGTGCGCGCGTGTGCCCACGGATCTCAAAAGAGCACAATGTGTTTCTGATCATTTGTGTGTGTGTGTTCGTGTGTCACTCTGCTCGATGTACAGTTCGCTTTCTCTTTCTGTGCCTTGCCCTCTTGCACCAGGCTCGCACCCTGCTCGCTTTACCTCTCTTCGCCTTACCCTTGCGGGTCTGCGCGCTGCGTGGCATGGCGAGGTGCGCGCTTACCACTTGCCCTGCACGTGCAACCCTTCGCTGGTTGCCTTCCGTCGACAAGGCTTGGTGGTAACTAGCCTAAGCGCGCCCCGCTATGCGACTCGCTAAGTTGGACCAGCCGGCTGGGAAGTAAAGAGACAAGGCTGACATTCTGTCTAGTGGTATTTTGCGGGCATCACCAGCCCGCAGTTCAAACACATTCAACATGTTTCGCACGACAGCCAAACGTTTCCGCGCACGCAGGTCGAAGACACTGCACAGCCATTGGTTTCTCAGCATGTCGATCGATATGTTCAGACCATGTGGAAGCACCATCTGTTGACAATGATACATGTATCATTTATTGCGCGCTCCTCTTATCCAGTATACTCCCAAACATCCTGTGGTGTTGGGTCCTCGTTTTGAAATAATGGTCACCGCGTTCTCCTCCTCCCCCTCCTCCCTCCTCCCTCCTCCCCCTCCTCCCTGCGTCCCACCCACCCAGTACAGCGCTTCGTGGCCCTATAGGGAGCTCCTTCGAAACCCCCATTGGGACCGCCCGCATGCGTCCCCCACAATCAATCTGGCATTTTCACCCACCCAGTACAACGTTTCGTGGCCTCATAAAGAGCTCCACGGAAGCCGTCAATGGGACTGCCCGCGTGCGCCCGCCACACCCAATTTGGCATTTTCACCCACCCAGTACAGCGCTTCGTGGCTCCACAGGGAGCTCCACCGAAGCCCCAAGTGGGACCGCCCGCGTGCGTCCCACACATTCAGGTTGGCCTTTTCATCTACCTAGTACACTGCTTCGTGGCCCCATAGGGAGCTCCACCGAAGCCCCCAGTGGGACCGCCCGCATGCGTCCCCCACAATCAATTTGGCATTTTCACTCACCTAGTTCAGCGCTTCGTGGCACCATAGGGGCTCCACCGAAGCCGTCAATGAGACTGCCCGCATGCGCCCCCCACACCCAATTTGGCATTTTCACCCACCAGTACGGCGCTTCGTGGCCCCATAGGGGACTCAACCGAAGCACCCAATGGGACCGCCCGCGTCCCACACGCGCAATTCGGCATTACCCACCCAGTACAGCGCTTCGTGGCCCCATAGGGAGCTCTACCGACGGCCCCAGTGCTACCGCCCGCGTGCGTTCCCCCACGTAGTACAGCTCTCCGTGGCCCAATAGGGAGCTCCACCGAAGGAAATATTCACACTTGCGGCACCCACAACTGCATTTGGTCATATGGTTGGGTCCTTCGCCAGGATCGTTTTTTTTTGCGCGCGCTCTTCTTATCGATCTCATCAGCGCCATGGTCACCATCATCCGTAGCGGCACTATTGCTTCCGTAAATATCGTCACCATCATTTGCATCGCATACACTTCGTTGTCGTCATCATGGCCACACGTAGCCATCATCATAAACGTCATCATCTCATCGTCAACGCCGTTGTGGCCGCCCTTGTCGTCAGCGCCACCGCCATCATCATTACTGTCGCCGTCGCCCATGTTTCCGTCACCTTTAGCATTCACCCGATCGGGTCATGGATCTGCGCGGAAAGGTCCTCGCGTCATTGCGCCACTTGGGTTTGCCAAAAAAGGCCCGGGTGATTGTGGGCCTCTTGGGACCTCTTGGGGGCATCTTAGGGCTTCCTGGGCGCCTCTTGGTGCCTCCTGGGGACCTTTTGGGGCGGAAGGCTCGGATTGTCGGTTCGTGTTCCTTCTCTTGGGCTCCTTTCGGGGCAGTCTTTGGGCCCTCCTGGGCGCCTCTTGGGCCGTCTTTGAGCCCTCTGGGGCAGTTTTGGGACCCTCTTGGAAACCTCTTGGGCCGTCTTGGGCCGGTCTGGGGGGCCTCTAGTCTAGGGCCTTCTTGGAGCGTCGGGAAGCCGAAGCGGCGAGAACGCCGAAATCTTTCAAAAACCAAGGGATCATCAATGATTTTGGCCTCTTGGGGCCCTCTTGGGACGCCTCTTGGAGCGTCTTGGAGGCCTCTTGGGCCGTCTGGGGGCCGTCTTGAGCGTCTTGGAGCGACTGTTCGGCGCCTCGCGGCCCTTTTGGACCGTTCTGGGGGCCTCTCGGGGCCCTCTCGGTCTGTCTTTGGATCTTCTTGTGTCCGACGCGTCACGCGGGGAGCCTCGAGAAGCCCCAGGAGATTTGGGCCGAGGGGTTCCGAACCCTTTTGAAACTTCCCCAGGGGTGACGACTGAGGCTAGGGCATCATCGCGTTCCATGGATTTCTTGGTCCACGATGAATTCGATTCTACCCGCCCACCTGGGCCAGGGTCATCCGCTCGATTCCGAGACTTGGTGATGATCGCTCATGTTTTTTGGATGCAATGCCCGCCGGACTGGCATCGCCCCCCCTCGCTGTCAAATTGTGTAGCATGCGGTGTACACATGTTGATTTGACAAGTGTCTGTTGTCAGACAGAGTCCATGTTATATAGAGTCATGTTTGCCAGATGCGCGTCCCCCCGCGCCTTGAAGGCGGGACCTTCCCCAGGGCCCCCTATGGCGATCCCCCCGGAGGGGGGTGGTCCCCGTGCCCCCATATCCACAACGGGGAGGCGTGTGGAGGGGTCTTGTGTTCCCCCTGTGCGCATGGGACCACCCTCCGTTCCCCCTTGTGCACAAGGGCATTGGGGGGACAGGGGGTGGAGCGGGGAGGGGGGAGGTGTCTTGAGTTACCCTTGTCCACAGTAGAGGGGGGGGGGGGTATTACATCTTCCGCATCCGCAGAGGAGACCACCCTTAGCCCCCCGTGCTCCCCCCCCTGTCTACAGGGGGGACCGGGGAGGGGGGCGGTAATCCGACCCAGAGCCTCCCCAGGGTTCTTTTATTTTCCCCTTCCACAGGGGGGGTCATCCCCTGTCTCCATGTCCACGGGAGACCGGGGAGGGGGGGGCACTGAATTTTTTTATGTCTACACGGGGAACCACCCCTTGCCCCCCCCCCCCCGGGAGGGAGGTGGGGGCATGAGTTTCCCTTGTCTGCACGGGGGCCGCCCCCTGTCCCTCCCTTGTCCACAGTGGGAACCGATGGGGGCGGCGGTCATCCGAACGGGGACCCCCCCAGGAGAATTTTCCCCTGTCCACATGGGCCCACCTCCACTCTGTTACCCCCATCTACAGGGGGGACCGGGGAGGCGAGGGGGGGGCACTGAGTTCGCCCGTTCTACAGGGGGGGGGCACTCCTTGCCCCACCCCCTGTCTACAGGGGGGACTGGGGAGAAGATGGTAATCTGACCCGGGACCCCCCTGCC